GTGATGACCATACTGAAATCGGATGCCAATCAATATTCTTTAACCCTCAATTTTCAAATCACAATGTAATAGATGATTATACAATTTGAAATGTTCTTTTATTAGGGCATGCGTGTTATGTTGAATTTGCTGATAAACTAATGATAACGTAATTCCCAGACCACAGGATCGCTRATATCTAGGGACTTTCTCTCCTTTCGACAGATTCTCAAATATGAACTGATCAGCATCTACGAAAGCAATCATTGAAAATGAGCAAATGAATTGAATTGAAAATAAATAAATGCAGTTAAACCAAATTGCAATAAAAAATAGACTTTCCGAAAAAGAAAAAAAACAACAACAACAAACAAATAGGTAAATAAAATTCAAAAAGTAAGACACAAGCGAACCGGTCCCTTGAAACAAAATAAAAAATGAACAATAAAATGCATGAGCGAACGAATATGASCAAAGTAAATTTCGTATAAATAAATAATTCTCGAAGAACGATAAAATGCTGTTGGTTTTTTCATCAACGCTATTTAAGACCACATTTATGAGTCTTCAAGCTCGTTACGTAATCGTTAATGAAACAAACTAAAGTGGACTTTGCGCAATAAGTACATTAAACGTTTAAGACTACCGACTTAATCAAAACCCAATAAGTGGTTCTCATGGAAAATGGAGCRRCAAGCTCATTACATTTAGATTTGCGATTTTTAAGCAATTAGAGCGGTCCAGAAAGAATTACTTCAGCCCCCCATCAATTCTTATGTTAAAAACTTACAGGTGAGAATACAACACAATTTCCTGCTCAGTTTCTGTGGTGAAATAACTAGTACTTTTTGTTCAATGTCGATCTTGTGACAAATTCTATACCTAATCAAAACTTGTAATTGTTTCATCTCATCGTTATAGTGATGAATTGTTTTTGAGAATTTTTTGTCCTGCTTCTGAACTTGATTATATGAATGTTTCTCTTTTCTCGATCTTAGTAAATATTGATATAACTGTATCATCGTTTTGTATGTTTATTTTTAACTTCAATTGCTATTTTTACTAAATCAACAAACTGGAAACGTTTTTCATTCAAAAGCTAAAATTCTAAATTAAAATTCGATGTCTTTGTAGTGAGCATATTTTCCTGACAAACTTGGTCAATGTTAAACGTTGACGTTCAATCTTCGTGTGACTAGCGCAAAAGGACCGGAAAATCAAAGAGTGGATCAAGAGTTTAGTTCTAAGTACCACARAATGCAATATTGGAGTAACCAACCTACACAATATAAATAGGCCTGAATTTGTTTCGACACTAAATTAATCTTTTTCTGATTTTTGTTGTGAAATATACACAAACAAAACTTAAAAATAACAATATATATACCAGAAGTATCTTTGAATGGCTTGACTAATTATAGAAACAGCGAAAATTTGACAGTGGAGAGTGTTATTTTTAACAGTTAACACGGTAGAAAGTACTCATTGAAAAATGTCGATTTAATGTGTGCATAGCTCGTTATCTCACGGGATTAGTCTTGAAGGTTCGCTGTTTGAAGCCTGCGTTTTAATCCGTAAAAAAAGTCTTTAATGAGTTACGTGTTCGTTTATTTTCCTGAGGACTCCTAAACTGAAAAATAATGATCGCTTGGAACTAAATTACCAAAAACTCCTAAAGTAGTGATACTAAACTCCTAAAGTAGTAATAGCCGCTTGGAACATTCAAGTTAATTTTAGAAAAAATAAAGCCGGTTAGAGCATAACTTCGCATGCGCCGAACTCAAATGAAAATGGCATGAGAATGAGAAAAATGAAAGGAATCCTGCAATTTCCATTCAATTCGGCGCAAATTAGAATCGTAAGTAAAGAGGTAGTCAAAATAGGAATTCTCATTTTTTTTGTTATTTCTAAAAAAACGCATTTCCTATAAATACATTCTATTTGGGCTATTTGCAGGAATCTTCCCTTTTTTTGGAGTTATCAGTGGGCGACATTACATGTGAACATTAACTAGTGTTAAATTAGTAATGACGACTTTTAAAAAAAATCCTTTTTATCCAAGCACTTTTGTTAAGAAAAACACTGCTTTTGACTTATATCTCCTGGTTTTAAAAGCATTTGGAATGAGTATTCTCATTGTAGTAACACAAAGGAAAATTTTCTCTTTTGTGATTTATCCCTTTAAATTTTCAAATGCCTATAACTCAGAAAACATACTTCAAAATMTTTTTCTCCGTAGAGGTGTCTAGAAGCATTTTTCCCTTGAGAATAATGATAACGATTTTATATAAGTCTTGTGTACTTTTCAATCAGGAATGCTATATCAAAATGGCTACCGCTAATATTTATTGTTTTCATCCAACGACAAATAATCCATAAAATACCTTACTAAGTTCCATAAAAAAAGGAGGTTTCATTTTCCAAAGATATCCAAGTTGTAAATAAATAAAAACTGATATGTTGCTTAGAAATAGATTCTCACTGGAACTTACTAGATTTTTATATATTCTTTAATTTCGCAGGGGTCATTTTGTTTGTGGTGCCGAAATTGATTCTGCTAAATGTGTGGCGGTTATTTAGGTAAAGAGTCTATTTATCCACTTCGATCTATTGGTTTATACACCCAGGTTGAGTTTGCGAAGCAATTATCGATGGGGAAAGCGCTTTCATGAAATATCGAAGGGCGCAAGTCAGCCAACCTTCAAGGAGTCAAAATTGCCGAACTTTAGGATTTCTAAAGGTCAATCACTATTTTTAAATCACTATTTTTAAAGGTCAATCACTATTTCATTCAGTGCATTTCAGTTTATGGCAGTGTTTTTGATTTTTTTTTTTATGGAAAGAAAAGCGTTTTCAGTAGTAAGTGTAAATCTCATTTTCATCGCGAAAAATCACTAAAGAATCCCCACACTGYCCCAAGAATTTTAGCGAGAGCTTTATTTTCGTTGAACATATTAGCAAGAAATTGAACTAAGATAAAAAACTGGAGTTTTCCCAGTCCCTCGCTGCTGCGGTATTAATTGATTTCTTCATCTCAATTAACCAATCATATGTCTTTAAAACTTGCCTCGTCCTTCCGGTGGGTAGTCACGTGGTTTGGATACAAGTTTGCCGCTATTGCTATAGGGCGTGTGCCAATTATTGCTTATAGTAGTTCTTCAAAATCCAATATGGCTGTGTGGTTAGGAAGTTACATAACGAAAAAAATCTATATTTGAAATAGCGATGATTCTGGTTCTCTACAACATCTGTAAGTGAACAAAAGCCTCTGGTTTTCACTAATGTGTTTCTATGATATTGTAGATAAGTTTTGAAAATAGAGACAGATGACTACGATTTTTAAAATATATATTTAAAYATCGCCATTTCCTCGTTGTAGCTATGAAATCAACACAGGAAGCAAAGGTCTCTAGCTTTTTCCCATAGCTACAAAAAAAACACGTTTTTAATAGCGTGCAATCAAATGCTATGACATCAATGAATAAATATTGCCAATATATTTAACCTATTTTCTTTCCATCATTCAGTGCACTACCGACACCACTAATATACGTTAAATTGCTGAGAKTTTTGCACATTTACGAGGTAAGCGATTAATATTTATTGACAGTACATCTGAAACTGAACAAGTTACTTAATTGTGATGATTTTTTGCATTTTTTTATTTGTTCACCCAAAAGTCAATTCGATGAATACAATTAATTGCTGGATCTCACAATGGAACAGTAGCATCCCTAGAAGTTAGAACTTTAATATTGGATGTTTATGCAAACCGATTTATTGCGCAAACTTTTCTTTGCATTTCACTGAGTGACGAATGGACGTGCCGGGAGATTTTGAATACAAGAACATGTCTTCCAAGTCATATATATTATCGAAATATAAAAATTATTTATCTATTATCTAKTTAAATATAAATTAAAACTTTTAATGGGTATGTATTTCACAATGCAAACCAACGACAATATCTGTCTACAAAATGACTATTTTGGTTTTTTACAAACTATTACTTTTCACATAAATCTAGTTTGTACAGCTGAGCATATTCGTGGATTTTATTTCTATCGATTTCGAGTTCATTCGATGCCTCTGTCATTGAAAACTGGAAATAGCCACTAATCGAGAGCCTTGAAACACAATTTGAAACAGCGGTTGAAAAACAGCATCTTTTTGTGCCTTTGAAATAATTGWYATATATGTAATAAGTTTTCCAGTCATAACCCCTGAATTAGGCTGAGAAACCGACAGATACAGGTGTGTATTATGACATTTGCTTCCTTCAGACTGGAACCGTCATTAATCTTGTTATTTACAAAATCTCCCACATACATAGCTACAGTTTTACAGATTCTTATTTCATTATTATATATCTACTTTCTTATCAASAAAGAAGTAAAACGTGTTCTTAATACCGTTGTTTACGAAAAGGATTTTTGGACATTTGTGTTTTGGTCCACAATTTTAATATACTGGTGCGGCCTAAATATCGCCCCTGGGGGATTAAACTCAGCAGGAAYACAGGAACACCTGCATRRMAGGGTMCCCACTTTCTACTTTCAAATAAAAAGCTACTTTTAYTTCAACACGTTATTCAAAAACAAGAGATTAGTCAACAATATAAGACATTACAGCGGTTTATTGATTTTCTATTGGAATATTGCATGAAATAGTTGTAGAATACACTAAGCTGTTACCTCTTATTCTTAACCTAAAATAACATTATTGATATTATGTATACAGACATGGCACTGACAGCGCTAATTAGAGGGCCTGGTGATCKCAAGGCAGTTCAATATGATCTTGCCATACGCGCCCGAGTAAACACACTAAGTGTGGATAGAAAAGAGGAGGTTTTGTTTTCACGTCGTTTCAAATCGGTTTCTTTTGAAAATTTACTGCTTGACAAAACATTTTTCAAACATTTTTTTCGTGTTTAGTCAACAACGTACTCGATTACTTTGATTTCTCGTTGATAGCTGGTTTCCTGTAGTAACTAAGTGAGCAAGCACGTTTAGTATCGAGCCTTCAGAGCGCTATTTTAACAAGAATAATTCTTAAGAGTAAACAAGGTCGGACTATAAGCATCTCTTTCTGACGCAAGCAAAGAAACCAACAACGATCGACTAAAGGAGCAGTAGTTTGAACTCAACCGCGAAACAAAGATACGGTGGATACTGCTGGAACAGTGACTCTTTTTTTTGGACGAGGAAGTTAGTGTGTTGTAAGTGATTTGATAAGTGAGATGCTTTGGTGTCTAAGAGTAATGATATAATAACGACCTCTATACTGTTGATAACCATAAAAACTTGATAACATTTCCGTAGTTCGTCCTTATTAGTTCGCGGGCCAACGCCCTGCTAAACGATTTCTCTCGCCTCTTCATCATTCTATCACTCAACTGTGACATTTTCATATCTGTTTTCACAGTTAACAGCATATTGTTGGTTAAAAGACTCTTACAATGTCTTCGCGGTTCAGTAATGGAGTCTACTACATGTATGGCTCGGTCATCGTCGTCATGTTTCTTCTGGGATTTAGCTCTCAGTGCATTGCACTGCGAATCTTTACAACCAAAGACTTCAAGCAAAAACCTCTCAACAAGCTCTTCCTCAACTTAGCAGTAGCTAACTTGGTTCTRATTATAATGGAATTTCCTCTCAGTTTACTGTCAATGATGACAAGTTCGCTGGTTTTTGGTCAAATCGGTTGCACAATACGTGGTTTTATAGCTGGTGTCTCCAGTCTTACTATGATCACTACGTTATATTGCTTTACTGCACGAATCATGGTATTGGTACAGCTAGATGACACACGTGAAAACCCATCTAAAGCATCTCTAGGAAAGCTAAAAGACACTACACTAGTTATACTATCATGGTTATTTTCGGTGGTTTGCATGTCTCCCCCTTTGTTCGGATGGAGCGAAATCACGGTTGAGCCAGGTGGACTGAATTGCGCGCCGAATTGGGCGGCTGAAGACCCAAGTGATCAGGCATATTTGATGTTATTGATATTATTTGGGTACGTTATTCCTGTAGGATTATTAGGCAATCACTTTGTACGTCTTTGGAACGATGTTTACTACATAGGACACCAACCACGGCCTTTACATGACATTCAAGTCAAGATTCGCTTTAGGTGAGTGCAAAGTTAGTTTCATTTTGATTCTTTTGATTTTTTCATTTGTCAAAATATAAAAAAAATTGCAAACAACAGACGCACGAACACTTAAACAGTTATTTTCTCGAAAGAACGCGAATGGAAGAAATAAAATATAAAAAAAGAAAAGAAATATAAATGTTTTTAAACATTAAAAGGATTTCTAAAGGTTTCAAATTCAACCAATATAAAACTCCTTTTCCTCATCTAAATATTTATCTATTTTATCACGTCTATATGTCATTGTCTCCTCACAGACACTTTGTAAACACTTCTAAACACTTCTAAACACCTAAAATGCTGTTCTTACACCATCGATTACAAAAGCCTTTTCCCCGTGCGCTTGTTGCTTGCAGTAAAGGTGCGGTAGCCCATACTCGCATTTGCAAAAGGCGCGCGCAGAAGTACATAACCAGAAGTGTCCATCTCCCCATTGGTATCGCCACCATCAGATGTCCCGATAATCTATTTTTAGACAACCAATCACAACGCGCGCACATATTACACGGCACCTGATTGGTCCTTGTTGATCTACTTCAAGAGCGGACAAGAAAGGAAAATTATGTAGTCGATGGAGGCGAACGAAGTGAAGTTTTCATTTACGAGAATTTTACACCTTTTGCTGAACAACCATTTTTGAATTCGATAGAAAACATTCTTTACTATATAAGCAATGTAGCGAAGGAAGTTCAAGAGCAATATAGTCTGCAAAAACAAGCGAAAAGTTCAGACAAAGATGAAGAAAAATACAAAACAGCGTGCGAAAAAAGTAGTCTAAAGTAGCTTTCTTACAGTCAATAGAGTCGGACTTAAAGAAAACCAAAGGTTAAGTAATTTGATAGACAACATACTTTACTATATGAGCAATGTAGCGAAGGAAGTTCAAGAGCAATATGGTCTGCGAAAACAAGGGAAAAGTTCAGACATAAACGAAGAAAAATGTACACTTCTGGTTATGTACTTCTGGCGCGCGGTCATACAAAGCGTTAACGACAATATTTTGTGAAAAAAAAAATTATATAAAGCATTATATTTATGTAATATAGTGTTTCTTAAAACATATACAGCAATATGGAGAACTTATAACCTTTTTTGCTAATATTTCAAGTATACATAAAATGGATCAGAAATTATGGGACACATCAGCAATATTTTTTTCAGAAAGTACTAGTGCTAGGCAACTTCAGCGATGATTTCTGAGATATTTTATGCATACTTGGAATATGAGTCAAAATGATCATAATTTCTGCATATTATTGCTGTAAATCATTTTCTTTATATAATATAGTGGATACTGGTGAAAATGCACTGCGCATGTCCACAGCTTTCCCTCTAGTGAGCGCGCGCCTCTTGAAATCTGCCTAATTTAACACAGTAAACACTACGAAAAACCTCATTTTCTCAAAATAGAAATGACAAGATAAAAATAGAAACTACGTACTAACAGAACATATCATGAACAAAGATTGATGGAAATATGAATCTTATATATCAGTTAACGARCTTATAAATTGTAAAAAACTTTCACAAAAATCTCCAGGTGCTCTGCTTACAAATAAAATAGGCAGATTTCAAGRCGCGAGCGCTCACTGGCGGGAAAGCTATGGACATGCGYAGTGCGTTTTTCACCAGTGTCAATATAATGTGTTTCTTKCATAGAGGTACCCAACCCTCACAAAAAAGCCTTTTAGATGGACCTGACAGTCCCTAATAAATTCTGCACCCTAAATACAGCACCCATTTAATTCCCTACTTATTTGTGATGTTTCAGGGTTATGGTCAAAGTGGTGATAATAAGTACAGCGATATTCTCATTCTTATGGTTACCCTATAGTGTATTTGGACTCGTTTCAATATTAGGAAAAGCAGACTGGTTAAATAACAACCCTGCAGCATTTATTCCTCCTCTGGTCGGCAAAGTTAGCAGTTTGTACTGTCCTGTCATGTACACTGTCCTCAGCAGAAGGTAAATACAGCGACAAATTAATAATCAGAACTCGAGGTTGAGTGGACTACGAGTTGKTAGTCCATCAAACCGTACTAATTRTTTCTTGTATCCATCAAAATATACGAAAAATTTGACAAAGGAACATGAAAACATTTCTATTTTTGCTTCACTTGTTGCTACCCTGATGATGATGATGATGATAGACCGTTTATTACAAAATACACCTTGCAGCAAAAGACTGAATTACGCGAATACAATTTGAAATGGTCTAGCATAATTAGACCATAGTTCAGTAGCCAATAAGGATGCTGAATTTGTGYCCACAAATTGGTTGATTCTAACTAGTGATATATTGGCACTGCCATAGCTGCGACACAATCAATCATTATGTGTCGATAAGAAGCTGAGGAAGTAATCTTGGTCTTATTTGAGCAAATTCCGTCTTGTATTCACATCCACGGCATAATTACAAAGGAATGACACACATATTCAGGATAACGATGTTTTTGAATTTTAACATCATTGTGAAGCTATTTCTAAACGCCTATTATTGCAATACCATTTATCCTGCAATATACTTCATCAATGAAATTCTAATTTCTACACGACTTTCTCTCGYCCTACCGAATAAATTTCTAGTATCACGTCAATATATTTCCATGACGTCACATTGATGTCATGTGACGTCATACTCGTGGGTTTCTCGTCCATATTAATCTTTCTTATTTAGCATTTGATAGTATTGTTAGGTTATAATTCGTATACAAACAGGTCCAGAAAGATTGATTGCTTGWCAGGTTAATCGTTTTAACCTTTATATAATCACAGTGGGTTGCCATAATAATACCAACAAGGAATAGATAAAGCTCTTAGTAATAAAAGCCCTGATTAAATTTGTTTTTGCCGTTTTCAGGTTTCGTWTRGCGTTCTTAAAACGGATTGGTGTYAAAACAGCAACAAGACAAACTAAGATATATCCCGCGAAAAAAGTAGAATGATCATTTAATATTTGAACACTGGCGCCGCATATGCTGAGATCACAGGGATTTTATCAACATAATGGGAAAAAAGTTAAGAAATCAAAAACAATTAAGTTAAAAATATAATTAAAAAATACATGTAAAAATGTGTACAAAGTTATAAATTGGCCAACAAACGCTGTATATATGCTATAATTATAATAAAATAAATCATTTTGCAAAATTTTGTTAATTTATGTGAATTATTCTTTACCTTCTGACAAGTCCATTCACACAGATCACTGTCAAACAAAGAGACTCCATAACACAAATCTAAAGGCACCCATTCATCTTGTGACGATACTCCAGTTTTCACTGTTTCGTTAACTATAACCATATCATCAGAGGAACGGCAGTCAATTGTCGTGTCTTCCTGTACCTCGTCGTCAAGACATTCATCAAAACTAATGTCAGATCCCATGAYAGGCGATGGAGAAGCATTTCGCGATAATTCTTCACTACTGTTCGGTGATGGTGCCTTTACTGTGCCTCGATATGGTCTCGTATCGATCGTGCTATTCAGCATTGTGATGTACCCACAAGAGTGTTTTAAGTCGAGCACTGTTGTCAGTTTTTGGATAACTGGATGGGCGGGCATGTTGTCGACTGAAAATGACCCTGWACGGAAAATTGCGAATATTAGAGAAAACTGAATAATGAAACGCATGCATTTTTGAAGCGTATTAAAACTTTTTTTCCGTATCCCTGAAGGAAATTAAAAGATAAAAGACAGTTGTTATTATCGCTAATTTTACATATTGGTCGCTCAACTAAGGACGACCACAGAAGACCAAAGAACGAGGAGCGAAGGAACTAAAGGAACTCTAGAGCGACAGAAGTTCACTTCTGGGTTCCCGAGGATGCAATCCCGCCTATATTATTAATAAGATTTATTGTAAAAGAATTCACAAACTTTTTACATACACACACCTTCAATGTTTTCAAATGGAAATGGAACGTGGACCACTTTGCCTTCCGAGTATACACCATGGGCCTGTAAGTACAACGAAGACACATAGAAAACTTAGTTAAAATTATAATTACACAAACGTCGCGCGCTATCTAATCGATCCATAAATAGATATCTATCAATCTGGCGTTTATTATTGACAGTTGTTATAGAGATGACAAACTTAATACAAATTAAGCTTACTTCTAAACAGTGTTGATTAGACTATAGGAAACAAAGGAATTGGCATAT